TCCAAGGCCCAATTCCAAGATTCCTCATATCTAAATGGAAAGCCCAATAAAAGTCAACCTTACGATAAGACTGCTATTTTAGTCAACGCTCCAAACTTCGGGGCTTCTCTTTTTAATGGCGAAATTGGCAATGAAGAAGCTGAGGCTGCTGGCAGTGCTCTGGTCTGGTGACGATGACGTCAGTGGCGGTGGCGGTTAAGGGCGGCGGGAGCTCAGGAAGCCGGCGCGCTGTGAAGTGGGCTGTGGAGAATCTCATGCCCAAAGCTGATCGCTTCGTCTTAGTTCACGTCATCCCCAAAATCACTTCCATTCCAACTCCATGTATATATATATTCTTTCTCTGCTCTGCTTTGTTTAGTTGGTGCATAAAAAAAGTAGGGAAGTAAAAATTATGATTTTGGATTTTTCTTCTCTTTTCTTTTTAGTTTTCTCGAGAATCGAACAGAAGCTGCTTTCTCACCACGTTTTTTCGAGAAGTTAAGCTGAAATGGACAGAACCCATTAATGAGCAAGATACCAAACTAAAAAATTTATGAAATTTCTTAGCCATTGGAATGTACATTTAATCTCCATGGCCAAACAGAGCATAAGTGTCTCTCTTGTGAGTTACTTACTGATGTTTTGGGTGTTGGTGTTGTGGTTTCGGCAGCAGGAGATCACATCCCTGTCACACAGCTGGATGCGAAGTTGGTGGCAACGTATGTGAAGGATATGAAAGAAAAGTTTGAGGAAGTTTTTGATCCATTTAAGAACAAATGCAAAACTAAAAAGGTGAGTTTGTTTTTTTGGTCTTCTGTATGAATTTAGCTATCTTCTGTTCAAATTTACAGTCTCAAAAACCTAGAATGTGTGTTCATAGCTCATTATAAGTTATAACTTTTGTAGGTGGAAACATTGGTGTTAGAAGATGATGATCCTGCAACTGGGCTTCTAAGGTTCATATCCGAGTCGGGGATCAATTGTTTGGTGTTGGGTTCTTGCTCTTCAAATTACATAACCAGGTATGGGCCCAAAACTACTCATTTAATCTCCCATTATAACTTGTTACAACTTTTCTGTTGGGTAATCTTTTTAGATGAAATTACTTTTTTCGGCGGTGTTACTGTGAATTTGTAGCTACTACTTTATAAATGGATCCAATTGTCATTTCTTTTCTTGCTCTTTTTTATTTTTATATCTCATGTCTTGGATTAGATTGTGGCATTTTTCTAAAACATTTAAAAAGGCTAAGTTTCCCATGATAACTTGTTTAGGAAACTGAAGGGACCAGGGGTATCGCAAATTGTTCTTAGATGTGCTTCTCACACTTGTGATGTTTATGTCATTTCCAGACACAGAATCATCAAAAATTCAGATGGTTCCTCATCTGCTATTGGTATGTTACAAGTGAGTTTTTTAGTTGATACATATGTGATGTCCTTAATTGTTTATTTTCTCTCATCAGAGACAAGCTCGGCTAGCTGGATGTCTACTCAAGGAGACCATAAGAGAGGTTCAAGTGATATCAGTGAACATATATCTGGTGTTCGTTCTTTCCGTGTGGAATCCACAGCTCATGAAGCTTATGGAGCATCTCCAATGTCAGACCTTAGTTACCTAAGTTCTGAAGCATTTTCGCGTATGGGCTTTTCTGAAAATGCTAGTGTAGATCAGGAAACGAATCATCATAACTTGGGAGATAAGCTGGCGACTAGTTCTTTTCATCATCAAAGGTCCTCAGTTTCTTCAAACACTGGGCAGGTAAATTGCACTGAACATTTTTCTCAACTGCTGAATTCTGCTTTTAGAATTTTACAGATATACCTATCATCCCTAGATGATGCTTGGGTGAGTTTTTGAGTTTTGTTATGAACTTTTGTTGTTTAGTCATATATGCAAATGGAGGTAGAACAGTTGCGTCTGGAATTGCAGAATACTATTTCCATGTACAAACGAGCATGTGAAGAGCTGGTCCATGCCCAGAGCAAGGTGAGACGTTGATTATGAAGTGTTCTGCCAACATGTAAAAGTCAAGCAAATGGAAACAAATATTTCATTACTAACAGGATTTGTTCTCACTAAGTCTGAAAAGGCAAGTTTAATTTTTGACGTCTAAGTTAGCATTTTTCTTTTGCATGTTTTACTGATTGATCTCCCATATCGTCATTGTTGTTTATATTATCAGGTGCAATTACTTTCTTCTGAGTGCCTTGATGAAGCAAGAAGAGTGGATGCTGCCCTTGAAAGTGAGGAAACTTTGAGAAAAATTGCTGCTGAAGAGAAAGAAAAGCATTTGAAAGCCATGAAGGAGATTGAGGAGGCCAAAGTTTTGCTTGCTAAAGAGGTTTATGAGAGGCAAATTGCCGAGCTGAATGTTATGAAAGAGTCCTCAGAGAAAAAGAAATTAGTAGATGCACTTTTCTCAAGGGACCGAAGGTACAGGAGATACAGTAGGAATGAAATAGAGGTAGCAACAAGTTTCTTCTCTGAGGCTAATGTGATTGGCGAAGGAGGATATGGAAAAGTTTACAAATGCAGTCTTGATCACACCCCGGTAGCTGTTAAGGTTCTTCGACCTGATGCAGTCAATAAGAGAGAGGAGTTTCTGAAAGAGGTATTTATGTTTTACACATAGTTGAGAACTGGTCAGTTAATTTGTTATGGCTGTTTCATGAACCTATTTAATTGTATTGGTCTAACGTTAGCGTCTTCCTGTAAATCATGAACAAAATATTGCTGCCAAATATCCTGAGTTCAGACTTGTTCTCTGCCAATTTTTCTTCAGGTTGAAATTCTTAGTCAGCTACACCATCCGAACATAGTTTTGCTGCTTGGAGCCTGTCCTGAGATCGGTTGCCTGGTCTATGAATACTTGGAAAATGGTAACTTGGAAGATTATATCTCCCAACGGAATGGAAAACCCTCACTCCCTTGGACTGTTCGGTTCCGCATAGTTTTTGAAATAGCTTGCGGGCTTGCATTCTTACACAGCTCCAAGGTGGAGCCTATTGTGCATCGAGATCTAAAACCGGGTAATATCTTACTAGACAGAAACTACATGAGCAAAATCGGGGATGTTGGGCTGGCTAAACTCATTTCAAACGTCGTCCCTGACAGCATCACTGAGTACAGAGAATCAATTCTTGCCGGGACACTCTTTTACATGGATCCGGAGTATCAGAGAACTGGCACAGTTCGTCCCAAATCAGATTTGTATGCTTTTGGGGTTATAATCCTCCAAGTATTGACAGCTCGCCATCCAAACCGGCTTATATTTATTGCAGAAAATGCAATGGCAAATGGCTCATTTGCAGACATTTTGGATGACTCTGTCACAGATTGGCCTCTTGCTGAAGCAAAGGAGTTGGCTCGAGTTGCGCTAAGATGTTCACAACTTAGATGCAGAGACAGACCAGATCTTGAAACTGAAGTTCTTCCAGTGCTCAAAAGACTGGTTGGTCTTGCAGATTCAAGTTTGAAGATTGACAGAAATCATGTCGATGCACCAAGCCACTACTTTTGTCCAATCCTTCAGGTAAAGCATTTGTTGGGCTTGCAGAGTTTACTTTCTATTTGAATTTTTGCATGCATCTCATATCTTGCTTCTCTCCACCATGCAGGAAATAATGGAAGATCCACACATCGCTGCAGATGGTTTTACGTATGAGTTTAGAGCAATCAAAGCATGGCTTGAGAAGCACAATGTGTCCCCAGTGACAAGGCTTAGACTTGAGCATTCTGTGTTAACTCCAAATCATACGTTACGTTCAGCAATACAGGAATGGAGGACACATGTGACATACCCAAGTACCTAAGTGGAAAGACCATGGACTTGTTCACCACTTCTTGCGAGCTTTTCAAACCAGAACCTACAAAATCTGGATTGAATTTGTGTTCTCTTTCTTGAAAATGTGCAGATGAAACCGAGCATTCGAAATCCTTGTACAAAACCATCAAGCAACTGTAAAAACAATCAAATTTACTCCAATTTCATATATGTTATTTTAATTGAGACATCAAAATCAGCAACAAAAAATAACTGAAATGTGAACCCAAAAAAAAGGGACATTTTGGAAAAAGCAAAAGGAGAGAGAAAAATTTTAAAAGAAGCAAAAATGGACAAGAATGCCCTTATTTATTTTTAGATTTCCAAATGAATCCAATACATTTGCATGTCTTTGATTTGAAAGTTGAGTGATTTTTTTGTCTTTTTTGAAAAAGCTTTAGCTTTTTCCAAAAGTGAAATTTTTTTTATGTTTAAAACCTAAAAAACCTCAAAAAAAATAACCCTGTGAATGAATTGGGAAAAAAAAAAGTTAGGCGTTTTAAAAATTGATTTTTAAGAAGAAGAACAATTAAACATTCCAATTTGATTGGGATATTACCAATTTGCCAACCATCAAATTTTCCTCACTATTTATGTTTCTTTTTTATTAATAAAATTTATGTTAGGAAATAAATATAGTGGAAGCCTGGAAGCATGCAAGGTAACTTTTCTTTTTTAAATTTATATTTTATATTTTCCATCTAAAAAAAAATGGCTAGCCTATTTGACACATAATTAGAGCATCTACAATCATGCTTTCCATTTTTTTAGTTATTTGGCTAAAAACACACAAAAGCTATTTTAGGAATTCTCTAAAATTTGAACTCCAATCATACTTCCTGGTTTAAGGAGTCATACAATTACTCGTTATAGAGGAGGCAATTACACCAGTAGCAACAATCTCTGTTTTAAATGTATAATTATCTGTATAAACTCTATAATTGCTATTCGCTCCTAAACATAATGGAACCATGAAAGCATTAATGTCCCAAGTTATGCTATGTTGCAGCACTCAAGCTTCAGCTATCAACTTGTGTAAATTCCAGAGCATTTGCATCC